AGATATCAGGAGATACTCCGCTGAAAAGCTTAGTTTTAAATAGAGAAAGAAAGTGTTACCGTCTGTTTATGGAAAGTGATATACGTTTCGTATAAATTTCCATATAAAAACATTTATTCACATGAACAGATTAAAGTATTAAATAGGAGCCGAGGTCATTTATAGATATGATGAAATCGTGACGGAAGGTCTAGGGAACTGTATTGGGGCAAACACTGAGGGGGAAAACAAACCTCCCAGATCCCAATTTCCTAACCCGTTAGGTGGGGATGACTCCACCTGCCTCGACAGCCTCCTAATAATTGTGGTCACGGTCACGTAGAAGACAGAGCAAGTGCTGCACACTTGCGGGGGTTATCATTTTACACTCAGACCAAAGTACAAAAGGTTGGTGAGTCCACGTCATGTTGAGTGGCCGAGTCAGGCGGCTGGAGCAGCCAGGTCCCCGCAGGATGGCATGGGGCTCCTTATACACACTGGCTTGCCCCGCAGGCATCCAGCTCTGACACTGGGAGGAAGCCAGGGCTGGTTTAGACTGCAGCGGGAGAGACTAAAGTTTGACAAGAAAGAAATTTTTAGAGGAAGTGCTGGGGGCGGGAGATGGACTGTGGGGTGGTGTGGATGCGAGGAGGCGGTGAGACCTTTCTCAGAAAGGACTCACACAGGATACACTTGTCATGGGTATTGTGCTGGGTGGGGGAGCAGGCTACCTCTGTGCATGTGTGCATACATGTGTGTACAGGCATGTAGGAGTGTGTGTGAGCTGGGGTGGAGAAAGAGAATAGTGACTGTTAGAGCCATTCCCACTAATCAGAACTAATTAGACCCTCTTGCAACTTTTCCAGGGCTTCCCGGGGTGGCTCAGTGGTAAAGAATCTGCCTGCCAATGCAGGAGATGCAAGAGACCCAGGTTTGATCCCTGGGTCAGAAAGATCCCCTGGAGGAGGAAATGGCAACCCACTCCAGTATTCTTGCCTGGAGAATCCCGTGGACAGAGGAGCCTGGCAGGCTACAGTCCAAGGGGTCACAGAGTTGGGCACGACCGAGTACACACATGTGTGTGACTTCTCTGCCTGAGCCCTGGAGGAAGTCGGGTGTGATTCAGCAGTGGAGACCAGAGAGGAGCTCAGCACCCGCATCATGGAGATGGGGACTCACTGTTCATTTCTAGCTCAGGATTCTCTCAGACTCAGCCCCTTTCTTTTACAGCCACCCAGCACTGCTCTCTCTTGTTGCTCTTCAGCAAGAGACACTCTGGGATCTGATCACGTCCCACGCTCTGGGGAAGACAGCAGCCTGCCCTCTGGCCCTTTCTCCTTGGGTGACATCACTCCCCTGGGGCTGCTGGGAGCAGCAGCTCGCCTCCCAGTCAGGCCCCAGCGGATGCTCTGACCTCCCAGACGCCCCCTGGCCTCCCTGTTTCCCAGCCTCGGCCTTCCTTCTTCCATTCTCAGCCCCCTCACAGCTGCCTCTTGCCCTGCAGTGTCAGGGCTCCATGGCCAGCTGACTGAATCCGGCTGGACAGTGGGCAGGGGGTTGCTGAGGCTTCCCTTTCCTTCCCCTCTCCTTCCTCTGCGTGGGGCCTCTGTGGGAGAAGGGACCGGACGAGACGTTTCTCCTTGATCGGGCCAGTTAGATGAACAGAATTCTGTCACTACTTTGTGTTAAGGTTCACTGAGGAAGAAATGTGCGGAAGTTCTTAGGAAGTCCTAAACTAAGAAAACAGCCACACATAAACACACATTACATCATGTCATCTGTTCAAAGCTGGACCAGGAAGGAGCTCTTATTCCCATTTTAAAGAATGCAGAAATTAAAAGACACACTTTAAATAGCCTGCCCAGATTATACGGCAGAGCTGGGATTTGAACCCTGTTCCATCTGTCTCCAGTACCCAAGATCTTAACCAGAACACTATCATTTTCCATAGGGCTGTAACTTCAGCTCTTATTTACTTAAATGGGGCCTCTTTTTAATGGGGAGCCCTGAGTTCATACATTACCCACACATTCATTCTCACTGGAAAAAAAGGTACAAAATATCAGAGTTATTTCTTAAGGATTTTTCCATACTGGAAGAAATTGAATGGGGTCATTTCATTCCTCCCATCACCTCTGATCTGGACTGTGTTTAGCCTTCTGGAAGGAAGCCTGCGAGCTCCGACTCCGTGCCTCTTGGTGAAATGAAACCTTCAGAAGCGTCCCCGACTCTTTCTCCCTGGGTAGTGACTGATCGTCTGAGGGCAGCAAGCAGTCTCGGAGGGGTGACTCGGGGTACTCCGTGTTCATTTTATGGATATGTAGCAAGTGCAGAGGTGCTGGCTGGGTTCTGGGGTAACACACTGATGTGCAGACCTCAGTCTCTGCCCCCAAGAAGTAGATGCTCAATGAATGTTTCATGAACAAAGCAGCACTTATACGCAACAGAAGAGCTGGGGCAGTTCTGAGAGGGGTGAGCATTTTAAGTGTCACAGAAGAGGTTCGACAGGAGCTTGGGGTGTATATGGGAGCAGATTATGCTTCTGAGGGTTGGAGGTCTGTGGTTTGGTGGCCAGAAGGCCGGCGAGGAGGCTCCTGCTGCACTGCAGAGAGTGGAAGGACAGATGTGCAACATCTGGGGACAGGAGCTGGGGTGGAAAAGCCAAACTTGACCCCACGGCTCCAGGTTGGGGTGAGTGTACAGGGAGGGGACAAAAATAGGAGAGTCAGAGCAGCAGTTTGCCGGGAAGGGACCTTGAGGAGTTTGGTTCAGGGCTTAGAGTCTCCTGACTCTGCTCTGGGTCTTCCAGTTGTGGCCAGGCTGCCCCCCAAAGGAAGGAGTCAGGAAGGTGGCAGCCGCAGGAGACAGAGCAAGGGGCTGCCTGCACATGGGGGCCACACCACAGGCTGTGTCTCTAGCTGCTGCTGCCACCACGCAGATGGAGCAGGCTTGCCCTGTAGCCTGGCAGACCCCAGGCTGTCAGGCCGGACCACCACTTCTTGCTCTTTCTTGGGCAAGGTGCTGAGTGTGGGCAGTTCTTTACTCAGCCAAGGCCTCCTTGGCTTCCTCCACTGTCCATTAGCACCGCTGGCTCTGGAGAGCCTGACCACCAGGGAAGCCCGGCCAGGGCCCCTAACCCCTACCAAAGTCAAAGTTGGCAGGGGCGGGTCTGACCCCAAAGCCCGAGAGGCTCAGCTGCCGGCACAGTGCTGCAGAGTCTCTGCGCCTTCCCTCTGAGCCCCCCACCCCTGCAATCCAAGGGCTGAGCTCTCTGCCTTAGGACACGGCTGGGAGGTAAGATGATCCCTGCGGGTCTCCAGGGGGCTTAAGAAACAGATGGTCCCCTCACATGAGGTTTGCCATTGTAACTTGAGCAGATCTGGAGAGGGAGCTGGCAGGACCGAGGCAGCTTGGGCCCCGGGGATGGGAACCTTGTGAATGTTATCAGACGCAACATCCCCTGCCCAGCCTCCAAACTGGGCCCTCACCCAAGTCAGTCTCTCAGCCCCTTCCAGCTGGCACCTGGGGCTCGAGCCTTAGACACCCACAACGGAGCTGGGGACCCTGTCCCCACTCTTGGCGAGGGCAGTGTAGCCAATTGGGCCAAGACGACAGGAAGAGCTCTGGAGCCAAGTCTTGAGAGCAGCTGAGAGAGGACAGGTGTTTGGAAGGGAGAGAAGGGCTAGGCAGAGCTGGGCAGCGTGCATACATGCTCAATTCCTTAGTTGTGTCCAACCCTTTGTGACCCCATGTCCTGCAGCCCACCAGGCTCCTCTGTCCATGGAATTTTCCAGGCAAGAATACTGGAGTGGGTTGCCATTCCTTCTCCAGGGGATCTTCTTGACCCAGGGATTGAACCCTTGTCTCCTGCATTGGCAGGCAGGTTCTTTATCACTGTGCCACCTGGGAAGCCCCAGAGCTGGGCAGGGGTCTCAGCCAAACAGAAACTTCCTGACTCCTTATCTCTCTCTTGACCAGTCAGATGTGAACAGCAGTGAAATGAAACCTCAGGCCTACTCTCTGAGCTCCTCCTCTTCCCCTAACGTTCCTCTCAATCCTCTTCCACTGCCCAGCACTCCTGAGGTGGTGCTTGGTGGTTAGGACCCTAGCATTGGGAGTAAGATGTGCTGGCTTCAAATCCCAGCAACATGAGCTGGGTGACCTTAGGCAAGTTACTTCACGCTGCATTGTGGCTAATGCATATGTTAACATGAGAATTATAATACCAACTTCCTAGGGCTTATATAAAGATAAAACAAGATGGTGGGCACAGAATACTTAGCTCACGTCCTGTTCACAGTAACTGCTCACAAACTGTTATTGTCATCGTCATCCTCGTCTCGTGAAGGCTCAAGAGAAGCAGGCAGAGACACAGAGGACACAGATGGACATAGAAGTTTTTGTACCCTCAAACTGATCTCGGCCCCGCATCTTACTATCTATGTCGTCTTGAGCAAGTTATGTGCCTCAGTTTCCTCACCTGTAAAATAGGAACAGTATTAGTCACTACCTCATAGAGTGGGCTTCCTGGTGGCTCAGACAATAAAGAATCTGCCTGCAGTGCAAGAGACCTGGGTTTGATCCCTGGGTTGGGAAGATTCCCCTGGAGGAGGAAATGGCAACCCACTCCAGTATTCTTGCCTGGAGAATCACATGGACAGAGTATCTTGGCAGACTACAGTCCATGGGGTCACAAAGAGTCAGACGTAACTGAGCGACTAACACTTTCACTTTTCATGGAGTAGTTGGAGAGATTAAATTTTGATTAATTTATCCATATGCGTATGTGTATACCTATATGTAGCTTAGGACAGTGCCTGTCTTAGCAAGTCAGCTGCCATTAATATTATTTCCTTAATCTAGCCATATCTGTGTTAAAACCCCTCCTCTCCCAGTCCTGATCTGCACTATCTAGGCCGGACAGAGGCGGGGTCAGCGGCAGGCTGGAGTGACCCTGGAGGTGTATATTTGGGGAGCAGCCCTTCCCCTGGCTCACGGGCCCTGTGCTCTCTCCCCTGCAGATGTCCATGAAGGAAGTGGGTGATGGCTTGCAGGATCAGATGAACTGTATGATGGGGGCGCTGCAAGAACTGAAGCTCCTGCAGGTGCAGACGGCCCTGGAGCAGCTGGAGATCTCTGGAGGGGGTCCTGCCCCAGGTTCTCCCGAAAGCCCCCGGACACAGCTTGAGCCCCCTCAGTGGGAGGGGTCCTGCTCCCCCTCCAACCAAGCTTCTCTTGGCAGCACCAGCAGCGCCAAGTTTCCATCGCCTAGGAGTGTGTGGGGGAGGGAGCTGGCCACCCCGCCCAGGACACCACTGCCAGAGCCCCAGACCTGTGCCCAGCAGGGGCCGGAGCTGGCGGAACCCGATGACTGGACCTCCACGTTGATGTCCCGGGGCCGGAACCGACAGCCTCTGGTGTTAGGCGACAACGTTTTTGCGGACCTGGTGGGCAACTGGCTGGACTTGCCAGAACTGGAGAAGGGTGGCGAGAAGGGTGAGACAGGGGAAGCGGGAGAGCCCAGAGGAGGGAGGGGCCAGCCTCGGGAGCTGGGCCGCAGGTTCGCCCTGACAGCAAACATCTTCAGGAAGTTCTTACGTAGCGTGAGGCCTGACCGCGACCGGCTGCTGAAGGAGAAACCAGGCTGGGTGACACCCACGGCCTCTGAGCCCCGAGCTGGACGCTCCCAGAAGGTCAAGAAGCGGAGCCATTCCAAGGGCTCTGGACATTGCCCCTTCCCAGGTGCCTCGGAGCCCAGAAGAGGGGAGAATGCTTCCACCAGCTGCCCCAAGGCCCTGGAATCCTCACCCTCGGGCTTTGATATTAACACAGCTGTTTGGGTCTGAATCCTAGAGACAGAAATGTGACTGAAGCCAAAAGGGCCAGGTCCCAGTGCTGGGCCCCTGGGAAACAGGCCAGGCGGGGTCCCTTCCCCCAAGAAAGGACCAAGAAGAAGCAAGAGGGCCTGGAGCACGGTTGACAGGCCTGTGGTTGGGAGAGGCTGTGGTAGGGGCTGGCTGGTGGGGGAGGGAGAGTTCCTGGACAGAGAGAGAGTGTGTGCTGCTACCCGGCTGGAGGTAACAGCAGGGGAGGGCCTGAGGGAGGAGACCAGGATATCCATCTGACATTCCTTCACTGCCCCCAAAGACCTCAGTTGAACATTCTGCATGGATCTGGCACTGGGGCCTCAGGTTCCCCAGAGATGCCGCCAATAAAGACCTTGTTTCTCGTGTCCCCAGGCTCGTGTGCTTCCTTGGCACAGCACTGCTCCAGCACAGGTATTAAAGCCCAGCCCTCCTGGGAGTGGGAGCAGAGCGGCAAACTCCCACCCCACTGCCTTCTGTTGCCTTTGAGATTTCAGCCCATCCCCAGGCCCTGGGCCACGGTTGAATAAGGAGTGTGTGTATAAGGGGTGCATGGGGAAGCCCACGCCTTGCCACAGGCACAGGAGAGAAAGCCAGTATTTGTAGAGCACGCTAAATATTTGGGATCCTTTTCATATCCATGCTCTCCCTTGTAAATGGGCAAGAAAGGCAGGTAATATTCCCAGTTTCCAGATGAGGAAACACACCTGGATGTGCTACCCCATCCAAGGATGGGCTGCAGGCAGTGGCTGACTAAAGAGCAGATGCTGGCCTCTAGAACCCCACATATTCCTTCCGCAACACCCTGTCCCCAGGACACAACCCCCACCCAGGGCTCAAGAACCTGTAAATTCACCAGTGAGATGAGGGCGAGCCAAGAAGAAATGCACACTCGGTCTTCATCTTCCCCTCATCCAGATCAATCCACGGTATAGAGGGGCAGTGGCTTTGCTCCTGCACCGAGGCTGCACCTAAAGCCTCACTGGGCACGTGGCCCAGAGAGCCTGCTGCCAGATCCAGGGCCCGCCCACTCGGGTGGGGAACACCCACAGGCTGGGAAAAGACAATGTGGGTCCCTGTTTGGGCCGAGCCTGTCCAGGAGGGCACTCCCTTCCTCCTCCTTCGCCTTCTCCTGGCTGAACTCCCCTCTGCCTGATGGGGGTGGGGAGTGACAGCTGCAATTAGAGGCAAGACGCCTTCCTGCCCTCAGAGCATTTAATAGCAAACTGGGGAGGAAAAATAACAAGGCTCTTCCTGAATCCTGGACCCCCAGGGGAGAGATGGAGGGAGGGGGCTTAGCATGAGCAGCCCCACAGCTCTAGTTGGGAGGTGGTTAGGGACACCCTCAAATTCCCACACAATCACATGGTAGATGTATATATAGTTCTGGGTGGTGGAAGCTACAAGACGAAAGGTGCTTCCCCCTCTTGCCGCCCCCCCCCGCCTTTTTTTTTAGAGCTGGCTATATGCTAGGCAGTGGTGCACGTGTCAAAATAACCCTAGAAGGTATTGTTAATACCTGGTCATTCAACGGAGGCTCTCAGGAGTCATGTAAGCTGCCCATATCAGATTACTAGCAAATGAAAGAACCAGGATTTGAAACAGAGCCGACTAGATCCAAAACCCCTGTCCTCTCCTCTCTTATCCCTGGAGTTTACCAGCCAAGCTAGCCCCTTCTGAAGGAGCAAGCCCCCACCCATCTTTTCTATCTCCACAGAGATCTGAAGTCCAACCTAGGTGAAGGCTCATTGGCCATGGCTGCCTTGGGCGGTGGAGGGTTGTATGTGTGGAGATTCCACCTACTGATTCGTTGAGTCCTGAGGCAGGAGACATGGGCTGCTGGTTTAAGGAGAAACTTTGCTGTGTGCTTAGTCGCTCAGTTGTGTCCCACTCTTTGCGACTCCATAGACTGTATAGTTCTCCAGGCTCCTCTGTCCTTGAAATTCTCCAGGCAAAAATACTGGAGTGGGGAACCATTTCCTTTCTCCAGAGGATCTTCCCAACCCAGGTCTCCCGCTTTGAAGGCGGAGCTATCTTTACAGTCTGAGCTATCAGGAAAGCCTGGGGCAGAAGCTGCTACTGCTAAGTCACTTCAGTCATGTTCGACTCTGTGCGACCCCATCCCTGGGATTCTCCAGGCAAGAAGACTGGAGTGGGTTGCCATTTCCTTCTCCAATGCATAAAAGTGAAAAGTGAAAGTGAAGTCGCTCAGTCAGGTCCGACTCTTCGCAACCCCATGGATTGCAGCCTACCAGGCTTCTCTGTCCATGGGATTTTCCAGGCAAGAGTACTGGAGTGGGGTGCCATTGCCTTCTCCGGGGGCAGAAGCTACCCAGCAGTTATTTAAGAAGGCACCAGCTCTGATTCAGCAATGATCATACAGGAAACCAAGTCACCTCTTGGCCACTCATCTGCTTTGTGGACCAGTCACTGCAATCCAGACCAACTGAACAAAACTTTCTCAACAGCTCCCCCATGCCAGGTACTGTGGTCGGAACTAACAACAGACCAATGACAAGGACCCAGTATTCCTGACTCAAGGGATCCAGCTGGAAGAAAGAAGCAACTCGTAACCCATCAGTGAGCTAGAAAGGATCTGAGGAAATGAAAACTCACTGTAACTTGGGCCAGGACAAAGCAATTAGTGACACTTGCTGCCACATACTTGCAGGTGCTGGGCACTGTCATCTTCATGCTCTTATTTCCTTCTGACCACATTCAGGAAGCGGCTGCTGTTACTCTTGACTCTACACGGAGAGGCTCAGAGAAGGTGAGCAACTTGCCCAGGGTCCTGGTGCCAGAGCTGGGATTGAAGCAGTTCCACCTGACTTGCAGGCTAGAGCTTTCACACCGCCCCACAAACTGCCCATATTTACTCCAAAGCCAAGTCAAGAGGAACAACAACAAAACCCATCCTCCCCGCATTATCCACGCATGGAGAATAAATGGAATGCTGGCTGCCTGTGGCAGTGGTGGAATTTAGCCTGGGTCTTGACAGGGCTCATGTAGCTAGCGCCCCATCCCATGCTTTGCTGATGAAAGACTAGGGTTGACTCATTTGTGTCCCCCCTGCGGCCCCATTATTTTTCCTTCTCCCTCCCCTTCTGGGCTCCTGCTGGGGAAATGATGGAGACTGTATTTTACTGACACTGAGGGGACAGGTAAAGAGGAACGTCTGAAGCCTAAGTGATATAGGAATGTGGGGGGCCGTGTGCGCAAGGGGAAGTAGTGGAAGGAAGTAGAAAACTGACAGCTTAATGCTGCCCCTGGGGCTCATTTTATGGCTAATTAGGACATGCAAATTAGCTGGAAACTCATTTAATACCCTCCCTGGCAAGAGGCCTGCCTCACACCTGGCCCACTTCCCTGGGCAGGTGTAGGGGTCCCCTGACTGGCTCAGGCATCGGCTTGGGGCCCCACATGGCCACTCTGTGGCCCTGGGAGCAGAGTGTGTCTATAGGTTATCTCTGACCACAAGCAGGAGCTAAAAGAGGCCCTGCTGGGATGGCCGGAGGGCTGATTGGTCTCCTTCATCTTCCCATCTCTTTAGGCCTGGGACCTCTCTTTTCCAGAGGGTCCGTCTCCCTCCAGCACTTCCCCTGCACCACCCCTCAGGTGAGATCTGAACTCAAACTTGCCCTGAGGACTAGAGGCCTGGTTCGGCTCTGTCCCCACCACACATCCCTGAGAAAGCGGGACCCTTCATCTTTGCCAAGTCACAGCAACATTTCCTACAGAGTCTCCATGAGACAGAAGCACAGCCTGTCTCTCTGGGGAGCAGGGCCAGGAGACCGTCTTCCCGTCACTGGGTAAGCTCGATGGGGTTGCCTGACCTCCCTGAGCCTCACTGTCCTCAGTGCGAAACAGAGATCATGCAGGGCTGCTGGGAGGCATGAGGGCGTGAGGCCCCTCCAGGTCTAGAACCCTGAGCAGAGCAGCCGAGTACATATCGGATGACCGACCTTCACTTCAGGCACCGACCATGTGATCCAGGGCAAAAAAGCTGAAAGATAGGAAACAGCTTTGTCTGATCCCCGGTCTCCTCTTCTGGCCCTATTACCCCACGGGATTATAGCAAGGATCAGAGAAGACAGTAAGTGCAAACATGTTGTTGTACATTGTAAAAATGTTCCCCAGATGGGCTGTTGGCCAAACAGCAAACAAACAATTTACACTTTTCTGTGGAAGGATATGTGTGCGTGTGTGTGTGTGTGTGTTGGGGTGGGGCAGGCTGGGTACAGAGGGGTACCCAGCACAGGCTGAGCTCAGAAATGCTTGAAAACCCCCCACTGCCTGGGGATGTGCTGGAGGGAGCACTCTGACCCCCTCCACACCCCAGCTCTCCCTCACTGTAAACCCCCAGGGCCCTCGCATTGCTGGCAAGGACTAAAGAGGTGATGAGCCAAGTTCTGATGGTTTTAAGCGGTCAGGCCTCCATCTGTGTGCTCTTTAAGGTCTTAGCCGCCGAGTCCCTGCCTGGCCCCACGGCCCTGCTTCTCCCCACAACCCCCCAGCGGCCCTGAGGGTTTCACAGTCCTGGCTGCGGCTGCCTTCCGAGAATCCACTACCTCTGACAGGGTGAGAGGGAGGCTTCTGCCGAGTCCTACCGCTCATGAGAGGCTCAGGCTGGTGCTGCCAGGGGAAGGGTGCTGGCCTAGAAGGGCCTGGCAGACCCTTCTAGAGTACAAGGACCCCAGCCTGCAGCCCCCTCTTCCTACTATCATCAGGATGCCCGACTCCCCTTGTTGTTGTTAGTTGCTAAGTCATGTCCAACTCTTGTGGCCCCAAGGACTGTAGCCCTCTAGTCTCCTTCCTCTGTCCATGGGGTTTCCCAGGCAAGAATACTGAAGCGGGTTGCCATTTCCTTCTCCAGGGGATGGATCTTCCTGACCCATGGATCGAACCCGAGTCTCCTACATTGGCAGGTAGATCCTTTACCACCGAGCCACCAGGGAAGCCCTGACTCCCCCACCCAACACTTA